AAGTATATGGATTTGTAAAACAAGTGAAACATTATTATTATTATATATTTTTAACGCTAAAACTAAGTATTATCATTAAAAATCAACAATAAAATTTAGGCAGGCAACAGTATTTACAGGAAAACATCAGGAAAATGTATGAGAAGGTGCCTAAACAAAATAAAAAAAATACCATTAAATAATAGCATGAAGTTAAAATGTATAAATAGAAGGATTGTTATTTATATTTTTATTTTTGTTCAAAAGAAAACATAGAATGAATGATTAAAACTGATTTCCTATCAGTAAGTCACAAAATTGCATTTCACCCACATACAATAATCAAAGGCAGAAATCTAGTTCTTGATGAACATTTAAGATTAAAGGGATCCTCAAGAATATTGTAAAATGATAAATGATTATGATAAGCAGCAGCAGCAGCAGCAGCAACAGTAGCATTAAAATATATTTTTTTAAACAATTTTTGAATAATTTTATAAACATAGAAGACTGTAACAAATACAGGCGTTTGTTTTAGATATTTCTTTTATTTCTATTTTAGCAAGTTTTTTTTGTTGTTTTAGATGAAAATTAGTAAACTAATTTTCAATCATAATTAAATAACTCAATTATCAAGATTATCTTTGTTTCTTTGTTATTTTTGATTTTTCTTTTTACTCCTTATACCTGATGTACCAATAAAAACTTTTGTAGAAGATCATCCTGTACAAAGATTTGGTATTTGGATACGATTGTCAAGTTTGACACATTTTTTATTGTAGAACCGTATTAATAAAACTTATTCGAGTTAATACTATTCTACTTTATTTCAATGGCGCAGTCAAGTGAAAACATTATTCGAATCGACTATGAGGACACCGCGGATAAAAAAGAAAAAGAACAAGACATAATTTTTGGTAAAAATGATGTCGAAGTGGCTGTCAATAAAAACTATACCGGAGATGGTGAAAATACCTATGTTTAACGGTTTGGGCGAGAATCCAATAGCATGGATGAACTCATATGAGTTTGCATGTCTTTCGAATGAATGGAATTCAGCAGCTGAGAAGATCTTCCACCTAAGAAGTCAACTGGTAGGCATAGCACTAAATTGGTATGAAGAGAAGGTTCAGATCACAGCAATAAATGAGTTTCAGTGGAAAGAATGGAAGGAGTTCATAGAAATATTCGATGAAAAGTATCATTACGGAAACATATTAGAATATTTTTTCGAAAAGCAAAGGTTATTAAAATGGACAGATGATACCATTTCTAAAAAATCTTTAATAGCCCTAGTTATTTTAGGACTTCCTACAACCATCCGAAATCAGCTCAGTGGTAAAGAAATTAATTCGAAGCAGGAGTTACTACAAAATTTAAAGTACTTAAAGATTGAGAAAGTAGGTAATCAGGAATACGGGTTGCCAAAGAATACTCCAACACATTTTCGAAAAAATTACACTTGGAAGCCATTAGAGAACAGAGACAGCAATAAACAAACAGAAGATGGGGTGCAAGGAGCAGGTTTGAAAGAAAAAATTGCTAGCAACAATTGCAATAATATAGTTAATAATGATGTGGATGAGAAAGAAATACAATATTTGGAAAATTATTCGAATTTTTCTTATAATTCCAGCATTTCTAAAAAAAGATGAAAATATTGTACTGGTATTAGTAAATGGTATAAAACTAAAAGATCTGTTAGACACGGGTTCTGAACTTGATATAATCAATGAAAAAGTAGTTGACAGATTTAAATTTCCAAAATTGAAGAAAAACGTCAACATTAGAAGTCTAGCGATAATAACAAGATGCTCTTAAGAATCAAGTTAAGTATAAATAGAAATGAAAAAATATAAATCCAGTTGTTGTTAAAAATATGTTATTTAATATGATAATAGGCCGAAAAACGCTAAATTATTTGGAGATATTTAACAATAATTTTAAACAACTTATATCTGAAGAAAGTATAAGAAAATCATTCCTCAACGTTTTAAACTATAATGACAGTAACCCAAGCAATTATTGTACAAATTTTAATTTAAAAGAATGCGTTAACATTGAAGAATTAAAGAATTAATTGAAAGAGACATTATCACAAAATCTGATTCTCCGTACGCCTCACCCTGTGTACTTCAGATGAAGGCTGATGGAAATTATAAATTTTGCATAGACTATAGAAAAATCAATGAAGAACCACATCTAGATCCTTTCCCGTTTCCCACGTTGATGATATTATTGAAACTTTCGGCGGGTGTAAATATTTTTCTAAAATAGATTTAAAAGATGGATTTTGGAATATCATGCTATCAGAAAATGCTAGAAAATACACAGCTTTTATAACTAAAGAAGGGCATTTTGAATTTAAAAGATTGCCTTTTGGATGGAAAAATTCAAGAACTAGATTCCAGAGTATAATGCAAGAGGTCTTAGGAGAATTATTGGGAAAAAGAATTTAGTGTACATCGACGATATAATTTGTTGAGGATCCGATTTAGATGAATGACGGATAAATACTCTTAAAATTTTAAAGATATAAATAAAAATAAATTTAAAAAAATGCCTCCCCTATGTAAAAAAAGTTACATTTTTAGGAAGAGAAATAGATGGTATTATAAAACGAATGAAAAAGAAAACTGTAGAATAGGTACTTGCTATGAAGAAACCAACTGATTTAAAATCTTTACAGTGTTTTACTGGTCTCACTAATCATTTCAAAAGTTTTATTAAAGATTATAGTAAGATTGCCAAACCTTTAGAGAAACTTAAATTAAAAAATAAAAAAATAATTTGGAGTGAAGAATGTGAAGAGGCATTCCAAAATTAAAAAAAAAAAAAATATTACTTCAGAACCGCTTTCTTCGATTACTAGATCCCAAATTAAAATATGAACTAGCTACAGATGCATCATGAACTATGGTTGTGGGGCTAACCTGTATCAAAGAGATGAGAACGAAAATAAAAATAAACAACTCCGAGTTATAAGCTACTATTCGTATACTTTTTCTAAAAGGGAGTTAAACTATTCTGTTACAGAAAAAAAATGTCTAGGAGGCTGTCAACCATTTTAGAATATATTTAGAAAATAAACACTTCGTTGTTCATACTGATCACCGAGCTTTAACTCAACTTTTAAGTAGTGCAAATCTGAGAGATCGTTTGGCAAGATGGCAATTATTTTTATTGAGTTTTGACATGACGGTAAATCATAAGAGTGGCCAAGAACTAAAAGATAGTGATGCGATTTCAAGGTTATGTATTGAAACAAATGATTCCTTTTGGTGTAATTTATTGGTGGAAGATCTAGAAAGGTTAGAAGATGGCAGATATTTAGTGAAGTGCTCAAGAATGGTAAAAGAAATATTAATGATGTATCAGGATGATCCTAACTCAGGTGGGCATGACGGGTATTATAAGACATACTATAAGATAAAAAGGAGATTTTTCTGGAATTCCAAACAGATAAGAGAATATTTAAAAATTTGTCGAATATGTCAAATTAATAAATTTTATATATTTACCTAAACCAGATTTTATACATATCTCACAATGCTCTCAAATTCCATTTGAAACTGTACTGAAATATCCGGTCTGGGAGTCTTAATTGTCTAGGTTTAATATTTTTAAATCCTTATTTTTATTATGTATTACTATATAACAATTAATGTATTGTTCCATAATTACATTAATTTCCTTTGGACAATAAATACAATATTTATAGTTATTTATACTGATAACATTATCAAGTTCCGTCAAAGTTTATCGGTATCAAACATTTTATTAAACGTATTTCCAACTAGCTAATGATGGTCCATTTGCATACCTAGTTAATTTAATTATAATTAAAATATATTTGCTGTTTTTAATTATAATTAAAATATATTTGCTGTTCTCACGAACAACAGTTTACTAACAATTCTACTCATATTTTATGTAAAAAAAAAACCATTTGATAACATAAACATCGTTGTTTGCTGTCGGCTAAATAGGAAGGAAGAGAAGGAAAGTGAATAAAAAAGCGAATAAATTACGTTACCATGGAAACGATTTGCATTTGCAATTTATTTATGTGTCGCGTCAGTTAGAAACTTTTAAAAAAATGTCAAATGTAGATTTTATATTTAAAAAGGAAGTAATTATGTCGAGATTTGGAAATAATATCGGCGAAGCATAAATAATTGAAAATTCCACTCCTGAAAATGCAAAAAATCTAAATCATTCATTTGGAACCAATTTAGTGCTTTTTGTGAGCAACGAAATTTTTATTTGAAAACGGAACAGATAGCTGAAAATGTGCCAAGCATATTTATTGATGGATTACGGTTATATTACGAAGAAAAAAATGGAGACGGTTACAAAGAGTATGTGATGAAAACGATTTGGAATACAGCAGCTAATATGTTGCAAAGTATGTATTTTGAAAAGTTTCATTTGAATTTTTATCATTTCAATGATTATGTATTTAAAAAATTTCTAATGCACGTAATTCAGGGTGTAAGAAGTGGAAAGAACGTAAAGAAAATTTTGTACCATTAACCAACTAAAATTATTAAAATGGCAATAATACGGGATGGAATTACTCTGATAGGCATATTTTTTTTTTATATCGCTCCCTATGACTTAGCTTTGTGATGAAGCAATGACGCAAATTGTGAGGGGCGCTATTTTACAGAAGAAAAATCCAATAATGGTAAATTGGATGCATTGAATATAAAACATTATTTTCCAAAACATGTCAAGGTGGTTCCAAAAAGTATTGCATCAGTAATAGAGTCAACAAAACATTTACAATAACTGTGTTTTTAACAATTTTTCTTACTAGAAAACCTTTTAATATTTAATTTTCTTCCGTAAAGTTAAATTGAATTTAAATATTACTTTATTTATAGAAATGTCTTAACAAATACCATTTGTGATCTAAAGAGTTTGTAAACATACTAAAATATTTTGTGGATTGGTGATAGATTTCAAAAGAGTGCAACTTAAAAAATACAGTAAAAAAACACAAAATAAAAAAGTACCTGTACCACTAGCAGCAGCCAGTCCTCCAGCAATTCCTCCAGCAGCAGGATTCTTCCCTCCTTCTTCGTTAACTTTGCTCAGCACCTGCCTCCGCCTGATTCGTTTCCTCGCAGTTTGAAATATTCTCCAATACAGTACCAATATGACCATCAAAGGAAGATAAAACGACGAAGCCGTCGCGAATATTTGATAATAAATGTCTTGGCTAACTATACATTTCTTGTCTCTCAGTCTGACTTCCCAGTTTGGGTCTTTCCAACCGAGAAGGGGAGCTATGCAGACGAAGAAGGAAACCAGCCAGATGATGAAAATCATGATGCCGATTCTCTTCGAGGTCCTTTGATGAATGTAATCAATATTTGTGACTGCCCAGTATCTGAAACCAAAAATATTTCATTTTATTTAGCAGAAATATTTATTTTTATTAAATTTTAATAAATGTTAATGAATTTTGATGAAATTTGATGAATTTTATTGAATTTTAATTAATTTTAACTAATTTTAATGAATTTTAATGAATTTTAATGAATTTTAATAAATTTTAATGAATTTTAATGAATTTTAATGAATTTTAATGAATTTTAATGAATTTTAATGAATTTTAATGAATTTTAATGAATTTTAATGAATTTTAATGAATTTTAATGAATTTTAATGAATTTTAATGAATTTTAATGAATTTTAATGAATTTTAATGAATTTTAATGAATTTTAATGAATTTTAATGAATTTTAATGAATTTTAATGAATTTTAATGAATTTTAATGAATTTTAATGAATTTTAATGAATTTTATTGAATTTTAATGAATTTTAATGAATTTTAATGAATTTTAATGAATTTTAATGAATTTTAATGAATTTTAATGAATTTTAATGAATTTTAATGAATTTTAATGAATTTTAATGAATTTTAATGAATTTTAATAAATTTTAATGAATTTTAATGAATTTTAATGAATTTTAATGAATTTTAATGAATTTTAATGAATTTTAATGAATTTTAATGAATTTTAATGAATTTTAATGAATTTTAATGAATTTTAATGAATTTTAATAAATTTTAATAAATTTTAATGAATTTTAATGAATTTTAATGAATTTTAATGAATTTTAATGAATTTTAATGAATTTTAATGAATTTTAATGAATTTTAATGAATTTTAATGAATTTTAATGAATTTTAATGAATTTTAATGAATTTTAATGAATTTTAATGAATTTTATTGAATTTTAATGAATTTTAATGAATTTTAATTAATTTTAATGAATTTTAATGAATTTTAATGAATTTTAATGAATTTTAATGAATTTTAATGAATTTTAATGAATTTTAATGAATTTTAATGAATTTTAATGAATTTTAATGAATTTTAATGAATTTTAATGAATTTTAATGAATTTTAATGAATTTTAATGAATTTTAATGAATTTTAATGAATTTTAATGAATTTTAATGAATTTTAATGAATTTTAATGAATTTTAATGAATTTTAATGAATTTTAATGAATTTTAATGAATTTTAATGAATTTTAATGAATTTTAATGAATTTTAATGAATTTTAATGAATTTTAATGAATTTTAATGAATTTTAATGAATGTTAATGAATTTTAATGAATTTTAATGAATTTTAATGAATTTTAATGAATTTTAATGAATTTTAATGAATTTTAATGACTTTTAATGATTTTTAATGAATTTTAATGAATTTTAATGAATTTTAATGAATTTTAATGAATTTTAATAAATTTTAATAAATTTTAATAAATTTTAATGAATTTTAATGAATTTTATTGAATTTTAATGAATCCTAATCAATTTTAATAAGTCTTAATCAATTTTAATAAATATTAACAAAATAAGTTAGATTAAGTATAAGTGAATATACATCTCATTTACTGGTTATTATTTGTATGTACTCTGTCCTTTGGATCAATTTATTTATAACTCAGGGAGTTTCCTAAGTAAGAAATTTCTGAGTTTTTCTCGATAAATTCTCCGAGGACTAGGATGCTTCCAGTTAGGTTTTGGTTTTGGTTTTTCATTATATAGAAAGTATAAAAAACGTAACTTGTTTTCTGTTGGGAATTGAAGGATATTTCACTAAGAGTATATTGGCGTAAAACAGGGTCGTATCTATGGTTTAGTGTTTCCTCTCTTTATACAGGGTCCTGCAATAGTGCCGCGGTCTTTCATAGTTGAAGATCCGTAATAGATAAACATATAAAAAAAAACATAGTGATATAGGGGTAACATGTGACAAGATATTTAACTATCCGGAACATCTCAAAAAATTATGACCAATCACTTGATATTTTTATCAAATCTGTATATTTTGACATTTTTAGGAGTATTAGGTAAACATTTATGCCAAGTCCTCCTCAATTTGGACCAAATTTTGCAATAAATAATTCTTACAATTCGAGGACAAATAAAAATTTTCCTATCCAGCGTTACCAATTTTTAAAAAATCAAAACAAAATCAAATGATGTCACCTTTAATAACCATAAATAATTATCAAAATGATTCTCAAAATTCCAAACTATACTCTATTCAACTTAAACGCAAGTAACGCTTAAACACAATAGCCCCTTGACCACAGCACATTGAGCTAGAGGGTACGGAAACATTCAAAACCGTATCGCTAGGCTGGCCAATAGCATTCAGGCGTGTGCTATGGTCAAGGGGCTATTGTGTTTAAGCGTTACTTGCGTGTAAGTTAAATAGAGTATAGAACCTATGGATATATCTTCAGTATTTACCTGAACTCAAATACAGAACTTTTAAATCAAAATATTACCTGCCTAATTTCTGCGGCCGGAAAGTGTTTTTTTTTGTGAGCATTGTTAACGTTTCCTTAATAGTTTTCGTAAATGTTTTATCACCTTTCCTGAGAAATCCTACCAGGTTTGCAGTGCTCTCTTTAGCTAGGATTTTGTCTGAGTATTTATCACAAAATACGAATATGTGTAGTCAGTCAACAGCACAGATATCAGATTCTCGCATTTTTAGCATCAGCCATCGTACTCTACTTTTATTAAATACCTTAATCATTTTCATTTTCAACCGTCACGCGGTGGGGCACTATCGGAAATACACGGCCAAAACTAATTAATTAAAATTATGCAAATTCCATAAAATAATATAAGGTTGGGTTTAGGGTAAACTACATACGTCCTAGAAATAAGGTTTTCAGAGCACCGGAGAGCCGATATTAGTTTGCATTTGAGTGTTTGAGCGGTAGTGCGTTGTTGTTTTAGTGTTGTTAGGCAAAATGAAATCCTATGCCAAATTTTTTTGGTTATTACAGGGTCAAAAGATATGGAGGAAAACCCCATGCTTAATAGAAAAACTCTCTCTGAGGTAATGTTGGAATGCAGCTCAAAAACATTTGAAGATAGATGTCATCATATTTTAACTCACATAATGGATTTAACCCAGTGCCCCGAAGAAGTGTTTCATGTTATTAAACATAAACTATCCTATTTTATTTTTGGACTTTAAAGTCAAGTTTAATTCTGCACAATTCGAAAAAGAAAGATTTTTGCACAAAATAAAAAATGACTAGATACTAATGTTAGTTTCCTGTGTTAAACAAACTAACTAGAACGGTATGGGGTAGTCGCCCATCCTTAGATCTTACAAGCTCAACTGAGTTCTGCTGAACTTGTTAATGCGGCCAAAATGAATCTGCGATATAAAGGGAAAATAGAGGCGGCCATAGCACTTAAAGAAGTTCATTTTTCGACACAAACTAGAGCTAAAAATACAGAAAAGTCAACAAAGTAGAGGATCTATCTGGAGAACAACCTTTATCGGTTCTAGTCGAAACAAAACTGGCTACACATCAATATGGGTTAGTAAGAAGTGAAGACAAAAGGAGATTTTCATTATACCATAAGATTCAGGATGCTAAAAATCATTGTTATCCAGACAGTGAAGCTATAATAATTAAAGAGACGAATGCTGAAGTAAAGTTGCAAGCATTACTTGATCATGCCGAGAGTTACTATCTGTCAGATAATTAATTTCATGTTTTTTCAAGTAAATAATTTGTAGTTTTTAACCTTATGTGGTTATGTAGCTACCTATTTATCCATCAGTGAAGTATTTTATCAGGAATTTCATAGGTAAAATAAGGCATCAGGTTTATCCCGAAGTGAAAAAAATATTTTTTAGGTTACTTGGGAGATAAAAATTACTTTATCTGAAGGTGAAAAGACAGACCCTTAATATTTAAACAATATTAGTTACCTTTAATGAGCTTTGTTAAAAGATTAGGTTTTGGCCACATTTTTTTAATTTTACTCCACTGTGCATCAACTCGAAAACAGAATCCACCTACGGTTCGTTCGATAAATAAAATTCTCTGTTTGTGACAACCCGAAAATTTGATGAACATTTTGCTTCCATTACATCGCGGTTAAGCCGTTAATCGTAATGGTTACTTTGTAGCAGAATTCGACGTCGAAATTTATTAGATATAAGCTGTACAAAGTTAGGGTCTGGATGACACTCGTAAAACTTTTACATCAAAATATCAAATGCGATTTTTATCAACGTCCATTTTCTCGTCCCGATGGCATGATGTAAAACTGATGCCTGATGGTTAAATGTTCAACACGACATTATGTATCGATTTGAGTGCTTCGCACAGTTTCTATCTAAATCTATCTAGACGTAAATGAAATAGGAAGCTAAAATTGACAAATTAAAAAAAAATAAGTAAACTCTAAGACTGTTATTGTTTTAAAATTGTTAGTGAGTGGAAGAGAGAAAGACAGATCTCTTAGGACCGGCTGGCAACGTTGTAAACAGTGTCCATAATATGCTCGCCAGTGGCGTCAAGTTTTAAACTTACCAGTATTGTCAGAGTAGTATGTTAAAAAAATACGTAAATAAGTAGGTATATTTTTTTAGTAATATAATTATGATGATTTTTTCATGTAGGTAAATTCAAGTACCAGTAAATTCGAATACAAGAGAATTCAAGTTACCTCCCCATTTTTAATATTTATTGGTTTATAGTTTATTGGCATTTACTATATATTTGCCTGTTATGATGTTAACCAAAATTATTTAAAATTTTAAATTAACATTAAGTGGTTAGGGGTATCTAAATAAAACACTGTCCTAAAAATATATAATTTTTTAATTAATAATTACAAAAAAACATGGTATGGCAAAAAATATCGTAAAAAAAACTGTAAAATTTTTTAAAATAACGTTTTAAATATATGTTATGGTATGTTGGGAATGGGGTGTTATCTTTTCTATATTAAATAACTTAATTTTATTAACTAAAATTTCATTTAATTTTTTTATGCTTAGTTATTAGTGTTATTACCTACTGCAATGTTTTTTTTTGCAGCAG